TTGTTAATTAGGTTAATAAAACTCATACTCAGAAATCAGACTTTCGTCTACCTTAAAGTTTCCTGGAGAACTGTGCTGCCAATTCTGCCAAGTCCTTATCTTCCAGGATCAAACAGAAGAAACAAATTAGCCAAATCCAAAGGAGGAAAAAATAAATTATACTGTGAGAAGAGAAGGGATTTACATTGCTGAAATGCAACCATACGTTCTCATCCTGTCCCAAACATGCTCAGCTCTAACTGCTGAGAACATGCTACAATTCACAATGAGAAAAAATATCTGTACTAACAAAATCGCTAACTGAAATTCACTGACTTTAAAAGGACACCAGCAATGCTCAGTCTTGAAATTTGGTTTTCCTCATTCACATCTGTGAATATGTGCTTACTTTTATGCTTCACTTATCCTCCCTCCAAAGCAAATATTTGGTAATCCTAAAAATACTAAAACAAAACCTTAGCTCAGTCTTTTAACACTGGCAGTATAGGAGTGTATGGGAAGAACAACATTCTAGTAAGCAGGAAGACTGCAAGGCAGTTTCCGAAAGTCCATCAATGACACTATTTTAATTAAAAGTATGTGAATCTTTAAAAACACTTATTTTTCTTTACCAGTGATAGTTGCTTTTTTGTTCTGTCTCAAATCTGAGGTCAGTTACCAAAGAAAACCGGAGCTGCTGCGATTCTGTAGCCTGTCAGTCTGTATGTATTTACCTAAGAAATCCTGAATGCTTGGGCCACGGTTGGACCATGGGCCAACAGTCGCACCGCAGGGAGGGAAAGACTAGACGTACAGAGACTTTTCACAATATCCCTGAAGCTAGTTCTTGAAGACGGATGCTCCCCAAGGCCCCCCCCCAAATTAGGGGTTCCCCAACGGGAGAGACAGCAATTTGGTGCGTCTCACCCCAACCCACGGTAGCAAGTGGCCCTGGCAGAGGGACGCGCAACATGAACCCTCACGCAACCAGGCTGCATTAGTTTTGGTTGCCCATGCAGAAGCAACCAAATGGCCAACACAACAGAGTAACGGGAACCTCTAGGACCACAGTCACAGGAACTGGCTTAAGATTCAGAAATTCTTCTGCCACTCTTCCTTTCTGCAAATGAAAGCTGCTAGTGGTGGTGACAATGTGCTGGTGGCTTGCACATTATTTCAAAACATCTCTGGAAACACAAATTATAAGATCAGGCTGGTTAGCAGTTTGCTGATCTCTTTCCTGCTTTGCATGGCAGCAATGCCAAGGCAAGTCAGAAGGGTCAGTTAGCCAGGCGTTATTACAGTGCCGAGAGCTGCACAAAAATAGCATAACTCCAACAGGAACTGCCTAAAACCAGATGTTGGCATTTTCCTATATCCTTCCTCTTCCTTAAAATCTAACAGAGGAAAGCACTTAACCATGGATTTAAGATTACAGTTACCCTGCAGGTTTTTTCCAGGCCTGAAAAAAGGATCTCCTGATGTGCTGCTGCTGTCTCAAGCAAAGCCAAGGGAGCCAAAGCTGAGGCAGAGGAAACGGCCTCCTGCACGGCTGGACTTCCCGCTGGCAGCTGCTGCCCTCACACCAAGACACCTCCCGTCGTGTGTGCTTCTCCTTGGGTCTTCAGCAAGGCCGGACACGTTAGCTTTAACCTTCACTGCCGCTTGCTGCTACTCCCCCCTCACGTGTTAATGCTTCCCTGCTATGCCCAGGGGATAGATTTGTTAGTACACCCTAATTTACTTCAGCAATAATCAGATATTATTGGAAAACAGAGGACAACATATGTATCTCAGCCCAGATCCCTGTACAGCTTCCTTTTTGTTTCATCTATATTATAAGCAGGGGGGAACCCACATCTGGATTTCCACTGACATCAGGCTACCTGAGCGTTTCAAGCTGCGTGCCTGAAGATGTACCTAAATTCCTACCTCTAAATTAGTTCTCATATGTTTTCTGTTCAGTGAAAAACCCTAGGCAAAACATATGAAAATTTAATAATATTTTTGTAACCCAAATAAAAAAAAATCCTGAAAGAGTTCTTAAATGAATAACAGAGAAATGTCAAAAAGCTTCATGTTTCTAGCTAAAAATAAAACAAGTATTTTATTTAGAAGTATATGGGCTTTTGAAGTTTTCCAAGTTTGCCAAACTATTCAATCCCTCTTACTCACGCAGAGAGATAAAAACTCATCAGGGCTGAGATGATCACAGGAAGAATCTGGCACAGACTGCTCTCTTTCATATACCCTCATTTTTTTCTGCCAAAAATAAATACATATGATCACAAATGCTAACTGCTATCTATTTATCATTTAAAGGTAACACCCTTCTCTGCTCTTATGCACCACACAACATTTTATTATCGCTGTGTCATACCCAATTAGTTTAATTAATTAGGGTTATCAGAGAGCTAGCAATTCCATTTGACCATTCGGATCCATCTGACCCGACAGAGTTACTCCTTGAATCTAATCTTCTAACTTTGTGGACACACAATATGTCTCTAATCACACTAGTGAAGTAACAACCTATTAAGTACAGATGTACTTTATCTCTAGTAAAATCCATAAAATTATCAGCACAATATCATAGCGTGCACATGTACAACACTATCCCCCCCAAAACTATTTAGAATTTTTGTTTCCCTTAATTCAAATATGAACTTCAGTAATTTCATTACTAACAGAAACACACTCCTCAAATGTAGGTAGGAGAATACAGTTTCATGGTGCATAAACCTTAGGTAAAAATACTGTGAAATGTTTTCATTAGGCAAATAATTACCAAATAATCAACTATAAATTTCTTCAAGTGATCCTACTACTGAAGACTATACTACTGATAATAAACATCAACAACAGAAGCAAGCATAGGATAAATCTCTTTGAAAATCTAATTTCTGTTTGATGCAGATTCCTTCTGAGTTATCTTAGAAATTATATCACATTTTAAAACCTCGAAGACATTGATATAGACATTAAAATAAAGAAAATCACCCCAGTGAAAGCTCATTAATCATATGATTATGTTTTGACTTTACATTTCATAGCAAGGTCTTACGTTCTTTGCATAATTCAAAAGTGATAAAACTGTGTGCAAAAGGACTGGACATTTTGAGCAACCAAATGCATGGTTTTATAATAGGAATAGAAGTAATTTTGAATTAAACAGAAAAACATATTGTCAGGAATAATTTCGAGTAGTTGTTTTTCCATGAAGAACACATTGTGTGCCAGTAATGCACAAGAAGTAATTCCTATGAATCCTCAAAGTTGATTGTTTAATTGAGGAAATACAATTCAGTCTTACTAGCAAGTTTAGTTTCTCAAAGCAGCAGTGGACAAAGGAAACAGTGCATGACTACAATTTCTCTTGTTATAAAGTCTTTGCTAAGCTTTACTCACCTCGATGCACATGGAAGCAAAATATTTGCATTTACAGAAAAGAAAAATACCTCCTATTTTATACATATACCTCCTATTTTATATTTTTTTATACAGAAAAATACCTCCTATTTTAATACTTTATATAAGACACGGGCCTTTTATTAAAAAAAAATGAAAGCATAGGCTTAAAAGTTAAAAAAAATCTCTATTTTCTTAACTAAAAGAAGAGTTGAACAGAGTGTACAATTGAGAAGTCTTTAATGCAAAACAATTAAGAAATCTTTTTCAACACAGCAAGAATGATCTAACAGCTATTTTTCTTTTTCACCCACTTCCAGCACCTTGTACTAATAAGTTTGGCAATACAAATGATTTTAGTTTTTCTGTTTGTTTTGTTTTTAAGAACTTTGGACAGGTCCTAAACTTAAATTTTTATATTTTATCAAGTACTTCTATACAATGTTCTTACAAACGGCCAGTGTTGACCTCACAGAGATATCTAATCTGATTATAGTATTTTTTTTGATTATTTAACACACTTAAGCTTATATCAAGTAATTTCAGATAGTATCATATTTTTATCATAATACACAAGTTCTCATTCCAATTCTGGTATTTGTCAGAAAAATATCAGACCACAAGCACACAGCCTGAAATTGCCAGTTCAATAACTTAAGAACTGTCTTACACTGTAGCCCAAACATAGTCAGCTTATTTATACATTTTCCATTTCCTTTTAAGTAAGCAAATCAAAAAAGGAGAAAAATCTATCTTTTAAAATTATATGGTTCAACTGGAAGATTAACAATATAAAACAGCTGGAAAAGAACAGAAAAAGACCTTAATACAAAATAGAACAGAAAACAGAAAAAGACCGAAAGAGCAGGAATTTGTAGCAATAAGTAAATAGTTACAGAAGTATTGAGATATCTATGCCTGCTCCTAAAATAAATTAACTAAAATTGAACTTCACTACTGAGAAATGTAACTTAATTTTCTAAAACCATCAAGAAAGTGTTGATCATCACAGGAATAAGACTTAGTTTAAACAAAACCGTTCAAATTAAATCCCCAGTACCTTTTTTCTCCACAAGCTGTTTTGGCCAAATATTTTAATGCTATTTTAATTTTCTTAGGTATGTATATTTTTTAAATTAGTTTGATAAAAGATTTCTGCTTAAATACTAATGATCAGATATTTGCTATGAATCCCTTTCAGTCATTCAAATTTCAAATTTCTATAAAGACAAATAAAATCATAAGTAAAAAGATAGCACAAGTAGTATAACGTAGCATAAGTAAAACCTTCCTTTACACCTTCTCAAATATCTTGGTTCATATACTTTCTTTTGAAGAGCCACGAAGAAGGAAGGGAAGGAAAACACTGAGCATTTCAATAACATGCAGAAAATCTCTGCTGAGTTTACTTTGGTTTGAAAAACTTATTTTTGAGCCATTTGCAAATTATTGATGAAAAACAAAAATTTAGATAACTTCACCCTTATTTCGAATGATTATTCATTTGCATTAATATGAAAAGTGAGAGTAATACTTCAGAGTAATACTCCTACGGCTATCAGTTGACATGATCTTGCAGAAGCCAGATTATTCAACATCATATAAAGACATACCTTTTTATCATATACATCCTGCCAGTTTACTCCAGCAAAGAAACTATGACGCATGATTTCTTTTGCATCATCTGGGCCTCCACCAAGTCTGAAGAGAGAAGAAAAAATTTCACATTATACAAGCTTTATTTTTAAAGTGTGACCATGTTATTGTGACTGTTAGGAAAGTGACCATTTATTTTTGAACAGCCATCCACAATTCTCACCTGTTTAATATGAAATTCTGGTGATATCAAGAAAAAGTGGTAACAAAAGTATTTGAATAACATTCCATTCTCTTTGATTATTCATTACTGACCATGACAAGCATTTTCATAGTTCCTCTGCTTTAGAAACATACTTATCTGTGGTTTTCTTGAAAGAACAACTGACTTTCTGGCACTGTTAAAAACCAAAACCAAAACCAAAACCAACTCTGACACAATTTTTGCCAAGGAGATGCCAGGCATGGAATCAATAATGATTCACACATCATTTTTATACAGTCTTCACTGCTGTTGCATCTGGGTGCTGTAACAATTAACCAATTACCATAAAATGGTCTCAATCTGAGTCAATTAGTATAAATTAATAAATTGTAGGCCTGCTGAGAAGGTTATTTAAAGGCCGTTGTAAATAACCACAGTATTCACTGTGGCATGAGGCTTGCCAAAGCCAGACTCTGGCACGTCAACTCAGAAAGCGAATGCCATGAAGAGCAGCCTTCTGCGTTGGGTGACGTTGCCTAAGGTGCTTTGAGCTTGTCTGAGTGCTCACTGCTGCTCAGCAAGGAGGGTCCCAGGCCTGCCCGCTCCCTTCCAGCTGCAGCCTCCCTGCCACTGCTGCAGTCCCCACGGCACTCTGGGGGACAATTCAACTCACTAACCTGGAAGAAACCCAACTCAGCAATGAAAATGCAAGAACAAACTGGCAGTTTCCTGGTGCATTAGCAAGTCAAGTATGACCCAGCAATGAGGTCAGTGAGCTTCCCTGGGCTGCAGTTGGGAGCCACACATCCAGGAGAGGGCATCAGGGGAGGAACCCTCGCCTCTTTCAATAGAAGTCAACTGTTGGGATTGCCCAGTGCTCATGTAACTTCTCCCTGAGTTGTAAAGTTTTCTGCTTCCCTGCAGCCTCCAGACTTCTCTCAGTATCTTTCTATCCAGCTGTGCAGAGAGAAGCTGAGCTCCACTTAACCCCCTGTTTATCAGCAGCTAACACCAGAACTTGAATATGAATAAGCTTATAAACATAAGCCTGTCATAAACACTATTGTCTGCAGAGATTAATTACAGGCAAGTATCTTTTTCATTCTAAAGGTTAATATATTTGATGGGTCAGATTGTTCAGAGACTAAAATGCATTAGAAGTTGCTACAGTAACAAATTTTCACTTTTGTCTCCTTGTATTTCAGTGGTTGCTCAGAGTCTGCTTGCATTTCTGTATGTCTAGTGAAAAGGGACTTTGCGGGGCAGCCAAAGAATGACTGACTGCTTGTGCTATGCTGTCCGGAGAGAAGGGAGCCTGCACCCCCACAGCAGGCTGAGAGACTCCCAAGAGGTGCATGGAGCTTGGGGCAAAGAGACAACCTAATGACACATCTCACTCATTTACAGAGGGATTTATTTTAGAACCAGAGGGAGACATTGCTTGTCCAGTGCATGGAGCAACTGGCAGATGGATGGCCTTAAAAAAAAAAAAAAAAAAAAAAGACCTGGAAGAAAAAGTCAACCAGAACCCGGCGCAGGCAGCAGTTGGTGATACCTCCTTTCAAGCCTCTGTATTTAAATCTGACTCCAGAGATGTGTATTACTTTCTAGTTTATGTGACCTAATACGTGATCTAGGTGCTCTTAATAAACTGCAGCTGTGGATGCGAAGCCTTTTAGCGTCTTCAGGCACGATCCCGTCCAAGAAAATACAGGGCAGTCCTTACTCAACACTATAGCCAACTCAGGGTCAAGTAAGTCATACTCTCCATAACTAATTTAGAGCTTACAAGTAAAATGGAACAAAGAAACAAAGTGATTTCACTTAACAGCCATATAGACCCAGATTTCCAGCCTGATCCTCTCTGTTGCACAGGGCTGTTTCCTGTACATGTAAATCACTTTAAATTCTTAAAGTTAAAATTTATGATACTAGGTCCTCAGAGTTATTCTACACTTACCGCTTATTTGGATCTTTTATCAGTAGGCCTGAAAGTAATGATTTTGCATCTGCAGAGAGAGTTCGAGGAAATTTTATGTCCTCCATTAGTATCAGTTCAAATAGCTTTTCATGATCTTGGTTGTAGAACGGTAATCTCCCACACATCATTTCATACATGACAACTCCTAATCCCCACCAGTCCACTGCACGACCATAGTCATTATCTTCCAATACCTAAAATGGAAACCAAAACCAGGTGTAAGATAAGAGGCTACTTCAAACATGACCATTTTGGCCCTTTCTTGGATTCTCTCTTTATGAATGTGTTTTTAAGGCTTTATTTCTGCAACACACAACCAGGACTCCAAGAACCCACATCCAAATACACACAATTGCAGCAGTGACCATACACTTCAGCTAGCTGAAATTTCAGACATAATGAGAACTGTATTGCCAGTCCAAATGTAATTCATCAGAAACAAGCATAATATAAATTTCAGAAAGTCCCCTCCCTCAAATTGTCAATACTGCATTTTCCCCTTTCCTATGTCTTGCTTTACAATTACTTTTATAATGTATATAGCTTTAGTAAGATTCACTTAAATCTACTGGCCCTGCCACCTCAGTCAGATTCCTCAGGGAAAGTGAAACACTTGCCCTGCTCAATCACTTCCTTTCTCTTTACCCCACCCATAAGAATAGAGACTGAAATTTCAACACACCTTAATCTCATTAAGGTAATTTATTTCTTTATAACTTTTGTTTATATTAAGAGCCCTGAGAACATATCTTCTGACAGGTCCACAGTCTGCCAGACTGTGCTAATACATAGAAATATGATGGCCTTCAGTATTTATGCGCCTAAAAGATGACTTACTCCACCATTCCTCTTAGCAGCCCCATTCAAAATCAGAATAAGGAATCTAAACCATATGTCTTGACTTCAATAAATTGAATATATCATTCTATATTTAATATATCATTAATATATCTTTCTGCAGCAAATAGTAGCAGTTTAGGCACATGTCTTCTGTATTACATATACCACATACATGCACGCAATACCTCTCAGTTTCCTTAGTGCTTATGCGTTCCTTATAGGCATGTTCCATTATTATATTGCCTCTATTTCTGTAACTTAATATGTAGACATATTGATGAGGCAAAAACAATAAATTTCAAACTTTAATAGTAGACATTAGGACTAGATGAGGGCAGCTAATCTACTTGGGGTATATTTATGAGGAATTCTACAAGATTTATGTATCATTAAAAGGTAGATTCTGAAAGACAGCATGAGTGAAGAACAACAGTAGTAATTAACGCAGTCGAATTCAGTTTTCACTATCCTTAAAGAACAGTAGAAGGAACATGATGAAAAGAGGTATATTTCAAATCCCTCTTGCGCATATAAGATTAAAAAGCATAAATATTAACACATTAACACATACTATTTACAACTGTGCCAAAACACACAGACTCGTTACATCATTGATATTTCCAAATAAGGGGTGAAACTTTGGGAGGTGTAAAATACAACAAATTATCTGAATAAGTACATATGACAAAACTAACTAAAATAACTCTGGCATTGTAAAATTAATTAAATGTTTTATGAGTTTGAGCATATTGCAAGTTATTTGCTGAAAAAAACTATATGAAATCTGTGACACTTAACATCTTTAAATGTCTTCAGCCACAGAATAAAAACATTATTTTTTTCTATTTTATGTATTAGCACTGCTACTATTTCCCCTATTTGTACTGTTGTTTATTCTCTTCTTTTGAAGCTAGTAAAATACATAAAATTGTGAGGCAGGGATAGATTCTTCTTTCAAGGGGAGATGTGGCTTGAATGTGTTATTTATAAAACAGGCAATGGGAAGATAAAACCTTTCATTCTCGAACAAGGCAAATCACACGGCCAATAGCTGAAGCGAACTGTATCAGGGGCTTTACCTAATTTATGCAGGGCTTTACCTAATAATAATAAAAAGTATGAGCAACCTTTTGCTGCATTCCCATAACAGCAACAAAACAGTAGTACAAAGAAAGAGCCAAATGTGATTTTTAACCTCTTTTTACATAAAATCATAAAAAAGCATAAAAGCTGGATTAACTGCCTCCGAACCCGCGTATCACCAGCCGGGTTCTCATCCCCAGCTGGCAAAACTGGCAACTCTTTATTTTTGTTTAAATACCTGGTTTACAGCCAGCCAGAGAAGCAAGAGCATCAAAAGGGTTTAGTTTAGGCAAAAGGAAAGCAATTCTGAAAAACGTATAAATAAAGAATAATGCATCTCAGTTTATGTTAATATAACTGTTATAAATTTATGCATAATGCAATAAGCATAAATAGATACTATTTTTTTAATTCCTTCTTATTCTTCCTGGTGTTAAGAACCTCTCCAGTACTTGCAGTCTGTGGAAGTGCTGGAGCCCAGTAGCTCCTGCGTTCAAATCCATATAATGAGGGTAATCGTGAGAACATCATATACATCACCCTATCACTACAGAAGCCTTTTCAAACACTTATTGGATTTGAGGGATTTGGGTTTAATTATAATGAACATAGGTCAAGAAAGCCTCAGCTCAGTGGTAGGAGAAACCTGACACAATTGCATACTTGATACCTATGCGTAATCCAATCTATTCTGTACCGTGAGATGGGTACCTGCTTTCAGAAAATCCTTCTCAGGCCACAAGGACAGGAGATTAGCAATAGCTCACCAATGCCTGTCCACAGGCAGACTCACTGGGAAGTTGCGTACTGACTCCGCATGCTGCCCTTAGACACAGCCTCCTTCCTCTCCAGTCAATTCTTGTCTTCAAGTGAAGGTTGCTGTGCACATACAGAAGTGAATAGTGTCCTAACAACTCAGTCCCTTCAAGGTCATTGCAAAAAAATACGGCAGGCCCACCAAAATCAACCTGTAGGGCACAAGCTGAACTACTCTTGTATGTTACAAAGCAGTATGTTAGTGTTTTCTAGGGATACCGAACATAAGGACAGCACAGAAAACCTAGGTTATAGAAATAGCAACTCTCCTACCACATACTCCAGTCAGCAATCTCTTCATGAAGAAAAGATGAAGCTACATGCTTCCTTCTCCAGAATTTGTTTCAAAAATCAAATCTTTCAGATGCATGACTTCCCTGGCTTCATCCACTTCATGTGTCATTTTCCAAAAATCCAAATGACCTAGTCAAGATCTAAATGAGGTTTTAGGAGATGAGAGGTCTAGTGTGTTCTGACTTCAGTGTGTGGGCAACATTCATATTCACTCATTCACTCACCATCACATCATCACTGTACTCAAATGACTTCCCAGTATCTGAGGTAGGCTGACTGAGGTTCAGTTTGGATAACACCATGGAGTATGTAAGAAAGAAATATATGCTCAGCATTTTTATTAATTGAGGGCAATTTCACTCCATTTGCTATTAAGGCTGCACCTCAACAACTGCTTCTTTCAGATATGGTGCTACCCTAATTCATGCTCTCCTTCCTGCCCCCTTGCCATGCTTCACCTCCAGTATGTTGCAGTTTTACAAACAAACTAGTAGAGAAGAAAAAAGGAAAAAAAAAAAAAAGGTTAGAATCTTGTTTTGCCCAGGGTTATTTTTAACCTGGATTAAGTTTTCTGACCTAATTCACCGCATAGTCACACAGTGGAACAGCCAGGGCACGGGGGCTTAACCTGGCACTGGGACAGCAAGAAAGGCTTGTCAGAGTCTGCCCTGCAGCTCTCAGCACAGAAGTGACACTCACTCTCCCGGCTGGTCCTGCTCACACACAGCTGCAAGAGCCATTCTCCCTTAATGGGAAGATTAAGGGCCTGATTCTCTTCCCAACTTGCATCTCTTTAAAGCATTCTTGCAGCACAAAAGGGCTCCAAATTAGGCATAAATTAATTTCTGCATTCCAACCATTGCATTTTTTATGGGAACTGATGTTGTTCTAAAACATAGACCTACATCTGTAATAATTAAAAAAGACACTGTCTGGGTTTATGTGGCTGCTTAAAAAAAACTCTCGCACAGGTGTTGCGAAGGTTTGTATTTTTCCAGCTTTAGATAAACACGCAAGAGGTTAAATAACATACACACTCTCTAACAACCAAGAAACATTAGTCAAGCATCTGCTCCCCAGCATATGCAGGTACTTTAGTGCTTTTATGGATGTTTTACAGGCTCTGGACCATATTATTGTTTCAACTAAGGGAAAGCTATTTCTTTACATTAAAATTTTCGTTTGTACTGTGCTCAAAAGGCAACCAAGAACTACTTTTATATTTATTCTATACAGAAAGTTCACCACCAGCCACAACAGCATTTGTTTCATAAGTTAGGAGCTGTATTTCAGGAGCATCGAATCTCAAAAAGTTTGACACTAAAAATAAGAAAACAATTGCATATTTTCAAGCAAACTGTACAGTATATATACCATTATATATAGTCCATGTCACTCTTACTCAGGCTTTAGAAAGCCATTCCCAATTCTTCTTAAGATTTACTCGGACAGCAAGGATAATCAATAACAATAAAAAACATATATAATGACTCCAGGCTGTAGTGACCACAGCCCTACGGTGACTCCACAGCCTGCGTGCCCGTGGCGGCTTCTGGCGAGCAGTATCAGCCAGCAGCAGCACTGACCAAGTGTGCGATGCGCTGGCGCTTCACGGGCAGGGCAAAGCCCACCAAACCACACATGCACAATTCACAATCCAGGTCGCAAACTGAATTTTGCTTTCATGAGGACTAAGGCTGCACCAACATACTGCCACGCTGCTAAGATCCAGCAGTACGAGTGTGTCTTGCCATTCACATGTAACAATGCACTTTGCTGACAGATAACTGCAGACTAGAAAAAAATCTTCTTGTATGGGCATTTAGTAACAAAAAGTATAAATTTCAGCACTTCTACTGCTGAAAAGGTCAATGTTATTGATCAGAAAATATTAATAAAAATTTTAGTACCAAGTTTTCTCTCTTGCAAAAAAACAAAATCACTTTAAAGAATTCTTCCTCTACTTCACTAGTGGTTCTCATGATCAGGGTTATCAATCTACATATTATCAAGTGTCATTTGATTTAGGACCCCTTTAAGAATCAAAATGATCAACATGATTTGATGTTCATTCAGGTTTTTTTTAGGCAGTATCTGGTGAAAATCTCTCTCCTATTATATAGGCTCTTTATTTCTTCTGTAGCTAGAGCCAAAACCATTT